AATTAGAAATGAAAATGGACAGATCACAACAGACAACACTGAAATACAAAGGATCATAAGAGACTACTACCAGGAGCTCTATGCCAATAAAATGGACAACTTGCAAGAAATGGACAAATTCTTAGAAAAGTATAACTTTCCAAAACTGAACCAGGAAGAAATAGAAGATCTTAACAGAGCCATCACAAGCAAGGAAATTGAAACTGTAATCAGAAATCTTCCAGCAAACAAAAGCCCAGGACCAGATGGCTTCACAGCTGAATTCTACCAAAAATTTAGAGAAGAGCTAACACCTATCTTACTCAAACTCGTCCAGAAAATTGCAGAAGAAGGTAAACTTCCAAACTCATTCTATGAGGCCACAATCACCCTAATTCCAAAACCAGACAAAGATGTCACAAAGAAAGAAAACTACAGGCCAGTATCATTGATGAACATAGATGCAAAAATCCTTAACAAAATTCTAGCAAACAGAATCCAACAACATATTAAAAAAATCATACATCATGACCAAGTTGGCCTTATCCCAGGAATACAAGGATTCTTTAGTATCCACAAATCAATGTAATACACCACATTAACAAATTGAAAGATAAAAACCATATGATTATCTCAATAGATGCAGAAAAAGCCTTTGACAAAATTCAACACCCATTTATGATTAAAACTCTCTAGAAAGCAGGAATAGAAGGAACAAACCTCAACATAATAAAAGCTATACATGACAAACCCACAGCAAGCATTACCCTCAATGGTGAAAAATTGAAAGCATTTCCCCTGAAATCAGGAACAAGACAAGGGTGCCCACTCTCACCACTACTATTCAACATAGTTTTGGAAGTGTTGGCCACAGCAATCAGAGCAGAAATAGAAGTAAAAGGAATCCAGATAGGAAAAGAAGAATTGAAACTCTCTCTGTTTGCAGATGACACGATCCTCTCCATAGAAAACCCTAAAGACTCTACCAGAAAATTACTAGAGCTAATCAAGGAATATAGTAAAGTTGCAGGATATAAAATTAACACACAGAAATCCCTTGCTTTCCTATACACTGACAATGAGAAAACAGAAAGAGAAATTAAGGAAACAATATCATTCACCATTGCAACAAAAAGAATAAAATACTTAGGAGTATATCTACCTAAAGAAACAAAAGACCTATACATAGAAAACTATAAAACACTGATGAAAGAAATCAAAGAGGACACAAACAGATGGAGAAACATACCATGTTCATGGATTGGAAGAATCAATATTGTCAAAATGGCTATACTACCCAAAGCAATCTATAGATTCAATGCAATCCCTATTAAGCTACCAACGGTATTTTTCACAGAACTAGGACAAATAATTTCACAACTTGTATGGAAATACGAAAAACCTTGAATAGCCAAAGTAATCTTGAGAAAGAAGAATGGAACTGGAGGAATCCACCTGCCTGACTTCAGACTCTACTACAAAGCCACAGTCATCAAGACAGTATGGTACTGGCACAAAGACAGAAATATAGATCAATGGAACAGAATAGAAAGCCCAGAGATAAATCCACAAACCTATGGACATCTTATCTTCGACAAAGGAGGCAAGGATGTACAATGGAAAAAAGACAACCTCTTTAACAAGTGGTGCTGGGAAAACTGGTCAACCACCTGTAAAAGAATGAAACTAGAACATGTTCTAACACCATACACAAAAATAAACTCAAAATGGATTAAAGATCTAAATGTAAGATCAGAAACTATGAAACTCCTAGAGAAGAACATAGGCAAAACACTCTCCGACATAAATCACAGCAGGATCCTCTATGACCCACCTCCCAGAATATTGGAAATAAAAGCAAAAATAAACAAATGGGACCTAATGAAACTTAAAAGCTTTTGCACAACAAAGGAAACTATAAGCAAGGTGAAAGGACAGCTCTCAGATTGGGAGAAAATAGTAAGAAATGAAGCAACAGACAAAGGACTAATCTCAAAAATATACAAGCAACTCCTGCAGCTCAATTCCAGAAAAATAAATGACCCAATCAAAAAATGGGCCAAAGAACTAAACAGACATTTCTCGGAAGAAGACATACAGATGACTAACAAACACACGAAAAGATGCTCAGCATCACTCATTATCAGAGAAATGCAAATCAAAACCACAATGAGGTACCATTACATGCCAGTCAGGATGGCTGCTATCCAAAAGTCTACAAGCAATAAATGCTGGAGAGGGTGTGGAGAAAAGGGAACCCTCTTACACTGTTGGTGGGAATGCAAACTAGTACAGCTTCTGTGGAGAACAGTGTGGGGATTTCTTAAAAAAAAAAAAAAAAACTGGAAATAGAACTGCCATATGACCCAGCATTCCCACTCCTGGGCATACACACTGAGGAAACCAGATCTGAAAGAGACACGTGCACCCCAATGTTCATCGAAGCACTGTTTATAATAGCCAGGACATGGAAGCAACCTAGATGCCCATCAGCAGACGAATGGATAAGGAAGCTGTGGTACATATACACCATGGAATATTACTCAGCCATTAAAAAGAATTCATTTGAATCAGTTCTAATGAGATGAGTGAAACTGGAGCCCATTATACAGAGTGAAGTAAGCCAGAAAGATAAAGACCAGTACAGCATACTAACACATATATATGGAATTTAGAAAGATGATAATGATAACTCTATATGCAAAACAGAAAAAGAGACACAGATGTACAGAACAGATTTTGGGACTCTGGGGGAGAAAGCGAGGGTGGGATGTTTTGAAAGAACAGCATCGAAACATGTATATTATCTATAGTGAAACAGATCACCAGCCCAGGTTGGATGCATGAGACAAGTGCTCGGGCCTGGTGCACTGGGAAGATCCAGAGGAATCGGGTGGAGAGGGAGGTGGGAGGGGGGATCGAGATGGTTAATACATGTAACTCCATGGCTGATTCATGTCAATGTATGACAAAACCCACTTCAATATTGTAAAGTAATTAGCCTCCAACTAATAAAAATAAATGAAAATAAACAAACAAACAAAAAGAAAGCACAGGAGAAAAACCATATGATCATTTCAATAGATGCCGAAAAAGCATTTGACAATACTCAACAACCACTATGATAAAAACTGTCAGAAAACTAGGACTACAAACAGACTTTCTTAATCTGATCAAGGTAATCTACAAAACTCCTACAGCTAACATGATATGCAGGAAAATCTAATCCTTCCACTCGGGGTGGGGGAAGGCTGCTGGTCTGGGATTTGGAGGGCCATGGAGAGGACTATCCAGCCAGGGGTTGGGGATCAAGTGCCCTGATTGAAGTACCTACCCCCTCTTCGGGCAGTGACCCTGATCCAGCCACCTTCTGTGGTACCAGCAGTTCCCTGGCATACACACCCCACACCCAGGCAGTGCTGCCCCAGCCCCTCATCATCCCCAGCTGTACCTTGCTTATTGACTTGACCCCCTTCCAGACAGACGCAGACCAGCACCCAGCAGGCCAGCAGACACAGGGTCACCTTCCAGTTGAGGGCCCCTGGCACCTCCAGCCCCAAGACTTTGTTCCTCGGGAGGGAAAGCCCCTGAGAGTTGTGTCAGCAGAGGGCCAAGAGACTGGGGGAGTCTTGGGGGACACTGCCCTTCCCACAGCCCTTTAATTCAGCCAGTATCATTGGTGCTTCTTGGGCACCTGGAGTAAGTTCCCAGCCTGGAGTCCCTGCAGTCTGTGTACCTGGAGCCCCAGGTGGCCCAGCCCCATGCCATCCTCAATAAGTCCAACAGAAGTCTCTGCTTACCTCCCCAGGTGGGCAGACACAGCCCCCTCCACATCCCTAGTCTCAGGACTCCAGAGCCAGGTCTCCCACTCCCATGTGAAGGCACCTGTGCAAGCACACACAAATGGAGACACCCATGTGCATTCATCTGTCCCATGCTTTCTCTTTCACACACACACATACACATGCACATGCCCATGTGCATGCACCTGACCACACTCCCTCTGGCACTCACATACATGCCCATGTGCAAGCACCTGAGCATGTGCTCACTCTGCCTCTCTCTCACACACACACATGTCTATGTGCATGCACCTGTTCAAGTGCTCTCTCTCTCTCAAACACACACAGATGCACACACCTATGTACATGCAGCTGTGCAGGCACTCACACACACACACATCCATGAGCAGGCACCTGTGCATAGGCACTCTCTCTTGGCACACACACAGGCATGCATACTCACACACCCATGTGCATGCACCTGACCACACACTCTCTCTTGCCCACACATACGTGCCCATGCTCAAACGCCTCCAAAAACAGACACATGCACAGACCTATGTGTGTGAATCTGTGCCTGTGCTCCCTCTCACAAACACATCCATGCACACGCCCATGTGCATACACCTGCCCATGTGCTCACGCACACAGATGAACTTATACTGACGTGACCTACGTGTGGGGCACCAGAGGGATAGACCAGCCCTGAACCAGGGGTGCCCAATTCCCTTCTGGAAGTCAATGACAAGGACCTGCTCTCAGCAGGATGATCACCTGTGAACCTAGCCAGGCTGGCAGCAGCGAAGACTTGGAAATGCACAGCGACCGGGGCTCATGCACAGTTTGCAGGTTGGGGCCAGAAACAGTCAAGTGACTTGAGGAGTCGGGCGGGGTCTGTTTGAGCATGCGCACTGAGGAGCTGCCCCCACACTAAAGGGTGGAGCACCACCCAGACGCCTCATGGCTGAGCCATTTACCAGGTTTCCGGCCTGAGGCAGCCCTGACTTGGAGGGCCCAGGCCACGCGGGTATGGGTTTGCGCACGCGCATTGGGGCTACATGGCGCGTGAACGCGTGAAGCTTCAGCAGGGCGCCCATTGTCGGTGGGAACCAATCATGAGGCAGGACCAGGGTGGGTTTGCGCAGGCGCTCTGCTGAGTTGCAGGTCTCACTACAGGGCAGTTTTCTGTGGAGACTGTTCGGTCTTTCCCGCCGCGGAGGGAGAGGCAGAGCGTTCAAGATGGAGTCCGAGGCAAACGACGGAGGAGTCACGAGGGCAGCCGATGAAGACGCAGTTGCCGAGGCCTTTGCAGCTGGCATAGCAGGTGGTGGTCAAGGCGTTCTGGGTGGTGCTGGTGGCCGCAATGGCCCTGGTGACCCAGATGTCCCTGGTGACGCCGTCAGTCGAGGAGTCCCTGGCGGCTCCGGTGACCAGGCTAATCCCAGAGGACCCAGTGCTGCCGGAGAGTCAGGTGGTGCAGCCGGTGCCATTCCACAGATCCTAGGGGCACCCCACGCACCAGGGCCTGGTGGAGACGCTGCACCTGGAGCCGGAGTTCTGACTGACCGAGCCCTCCAGTTGTATCCTATTCCAGGAGCCCCAGTGGGCCGGGCGGCCTCAGGGTTCGGGGTGTGGGCTAGGGGTGGTTTGGGGATTGCAGGTGGCAGGGCCTAAAGTGTGGGAGGAGGGTACTCTGCGGGGGTGGAGGGTATGGGTCTGAGGTGGTCTGGCGGCCAGAGGATAGTGGTGAAGGAAAGCAACCTGAAGGGATCCAGAGGGTTGGGCAGTGATATCCAGGGTATCCAGTGGTGGCCTTGTGGGAGAAGGTGGTTCTCGGTGAGCAGGGAGCCTGACGTACAAGCCATATGAGAAATGTGGATGGTGCCTTAACCGTATCTCCACCAGCAGCCTCACTGTGCCTTTCTCATCGCACGCGGAGGCAGACGTCGCCCGCCACTTCCTGACTCCACGTACTCAACTGCGAGGGCCGATTCGGAAGGAGCTCGATGTTAATGGCCGCATGCTGGTTCTGTCAGTTCTAAAGGGGGCCGGGGCCGGGGAGGGAGTGGAGGGCGGTGACCAGTCTCAGCCCAGGAGGAGCCATAATAGAGCGTTAAGCCTAGAGGAGAAGTGTGGTGCTCCGGGCTTGTCAGTGTGTGGGGACAGAGGGAGGACATGCTCCTCTTCCTCCTTCTTGGTGGGAACTTGAATTTCATTTCCCCCCCCCCCCCCTTTTAGCCGATTGACTGCTGAAGATCCTGGCCTGCTCCAGACGTCCATCACCTTCTGTCTGGACCAGCTTTACACGGTGATGCAGACCTTACAGCACTTTGTGCCCCCCCTTTATGCTAAGCCTCATCACAGAAGAGGGGCTTAAAACCTAGCCTATGTGCCCTAGCCTCAAGTATCCTTCCCCAGCGCATTGCTTTCTGATTTAGTTTGATGGGGCTTCATCTGGTGCTTGTGCTGCTGCTTCGGGGCTCAGGGTCCACTTAGTTTGTTTGGTGATTGTTAACTACAGAAAATAAAACTGAGCTACTGTGCTGTCTCTGACTTTGTTTTTAGTGTGTTCACTTCCTAATACTGCATTTGTCTTTTGGTTGGAGGGGAGGTTCTGAGATCCAGGTATTCAAGGAGTACAACATAATGGAAGACAATGTAAGAAGTGGGAGAATAAGAAAGTTGTGTACTGCCATTCAGTATTAATTTTGGAATATTTTGTTAGTTTTATAGTTGCGTTTATATATAAAACACCAGAATGTTGTTGTTGTTCAGTCTCTAAAGTTGTGTCCAGATGATTGTTTGCGATCCCAAGGACTGTAGCATACCAGGCTCTGGGTCCCCGCTGTCTCTTGGAATTTGCTCAGATTCATGTCCATTAAGTCGGTGGTGCTATCTAACCATCTCTTCTGTGGCCTCCTTCTCCTTTTGCCTTCAGTCTTTTCCAGCATCACAAGTCTTTTCCAGTGAGTCAGCTTTTGGCATCTGCTGGCCAAGGTGTTGAAGCTCTGGCTTCAGCACCAGTCCTTCCACTAAATATTCAGGACTAATTTCCTTTAGGATTGACTAGTTTGATCTCCTTGCAATTCAAAGCACTCTCAAGAGTATCCTTGTATCGTGAAACCCTGCTAAACTCACTAATTAATTGTAATAGCTCTTTTGTAGATCCCATTGAACTCCCTCTTCGACAATGGTTTTGTCTGTAAATACATGCACATTTATTTTTTTCCTTTCTAATTAATGGATTTTAACTGATTTCTGTTAAAATGAAATCTTCCAACACTTTGGCCACATGATGTGAAGAGCCAACTCAGTGGCAAAGACTCTGATGCTGAGAAATATTGAAGGCAGGAGGAGAAAGGAATGACAGAAGATGAGATGGTTGGATGGCATCACAACAACAGACATGAGTTTCACCAAGTTCCAGGAGATGGTGAAGGACAGGGAAACCTGGTGTGCTGCAGTTCATGGAGTCAAAAATAGTTAGACATGACTGAGCGACTGAACAGCAACACACTGATTTATGTTTTAATGGATTTGACTTTCCTGCTTCTTTGCTTCCTGGTAATTTTAGATTGGATGCCAAGCAATATCAAATTTCCCATGCATGCTTAATATTTTTCTGTGCCTAAACTTATTCTTGAGCTTTATTCTGGAATCCTGTTAAGTTGCTTGGAAACGGTTTGATCCTTTTTGGGTCTTACTTATTAAGATTGACTTTGTATGACCAGAGCAGATCTTAATGTAGGATGAACTTAATTAACTGAAATCATCAATGTCTGAGAAGGCTATAGTTGGAAACAAAGACTCCTTTTAAAAATTTTATTTATGAAAAAAATATGAAAATTCTTTATTTTTGGCTGCACTGCATCTTGTTAACTGTGTGCAGGTTTTCTGTACTTGCAGTCAGCAGGGGCTACTCTCTTATTGCTGTGCTCAGGCTTCTCATTGCAGAGGTTTCTCTTGTCGAGGAGCACAGACTTTAGATAGTGGTGAGCTCAGTTGTTGTGGCACACGAGCTTGGCTGCCCCAGGCATGTGGGATATTCCTAGCCCAGGGATTGAACACATGTGCCCTGCATTAGCAGGCAGAATCTTTACCACTGGACCACCAGGGAAGCCAAAACAAGGACCCTTATACAGTATCAGAGTGCTAGTAAAATCTATCTGGACATTTCTTTGGCACGTTCTATTACATGTAAGATGCACATATCCTTTGACCCACTTTTGGAGTCTTATCATAGGAAAATTCTTGTATATGTGAACAAGGCAGAATCGACCATAGTATTAATTACTGCATTGTTTGTCATTGTGAAAATTTGGTAGAATGTAAATCCAGGGGGAAATGTTGAGTAAATCAGGGGAAGTCAAGCCTGCTGGAATAACATGTGGCAATCAGAGAGCAAATCAGATAGCTGGGAACTAATATGGAAAAATATGAAAGCAAATTGCAGAATTCTGGGCCTTGCATATTTCTGTCTTTCAGTACATTCTGACCATATGAACATGCGGGATAATGCTGAGTATTATCACCCAGCATGAATCCCCCTCAACTGTCAATGTCATCAGTGGACATTAGGGAAAAACATTTAAGTATTTAGGTTTCCTTGTTGATTAAATAACTTCATAAACAATCATGACTTTTGAAATGATGTTGCTTTGGAAAATAATGGTCTGCTCCATTTCCCTGTTGAAAAAAAAACTCTTCCTTAGAAACTTTACTTAAGCAAAGGTCTGTGAGGGAGCATTGGGAAGATGACACCCCCAAAAGTGGATGTGGACCCCCAGAGTCAGGGGATGGAAGTTGATGGGAGGGTCAGTAGCAGGGCCCATGCTTGCATTAATGAAGAATCTTTCCTATCTCACTTTAAAAAAAATAAAAATTGATTTTTGAATTTGAGGAAAAGTCTACACCAACTTCGAGCACATCTATGGGTTTTGTCACTTGGCATCCATTTTCCTTCTCTTGGTTCTGGTATCCTCCTGTCACCCTGGGAAATCACCCCTTTCCTTTTCTCTCACCCATTATGATTATCATAGAGTTGACTCCACCTCTGATTCCAGGAGTGGGCAGGTGGCTCATCAGAGCACTGCTTTCCTCCAGCCATGGTGATAACATCCAACCAGTGACAATTTTGGGAGCTGTAGGGGAGGCAGGCTGGCAAGGGACAGAAGGGGAGCTGAGACAAGAAGGCAGATCTCAGAGAACCAAATGGTGGATCCAGCCTTGCCTGAACCTTGCCTGAAGACAGAAACTACCTCTGTACCTTGTAGTTACATAGACCCAGAAATTCTTCCTTTGGCTTAAACCAAGGTGGTTATTTTTTATTGATTTCTTCCTTTTTTTGTAATAGCAAAGTCTTCACTATTATTGAATTGAGGTACCACAGGTTTATGTATTAATTTTCTTGCTAAGGGACTCGCTCTCTCTCTCTCTCTCTCTCTTGCTAATAGGATCTCACTAAGGCAAAGCTAAGAGACCACCAAGCCATATGGTAAAAAAGGAGACAAATGAGAGTTTTTGTTGGTAAATCGCCAACGGGGGAGGGAAGTATTTACAATGGGCAGATGAAGGAAAGAGCAAAAATTGGAGAAGGGGCACTGGGGACAGCCCTTTATAGACAATGCTCCCCAAAATGGCCCAGAATGGTGAAGTCAGTTCACCAGGGGGATGGGACTCTCATCTGATTCTCCCTTCTTCTGTCAGCAAACTTGGAATCATTCAGCTAAATTTGACCCCATACATGGACTACTGAAGCTGCTAGGTCGCTTTAAAACCTGTCAGGTCCTGTAATTACTCAGTTCCAAATCCTCCAGTAGGCTCCCTCTCAGAGTTCAAGCCACAGCCTTTCAGTGGCCTGTTAAGTCCTATGTGCTCCAGCCTGCATCTTCTCTGGCTTCATAACTTCCCTTTCTCATACCCCGTTGCCTACTTGGATCCAGACACACAGGGCTCCTTTCCCTTTATGAAACATTAAGGTCCATTTAAGAAAATTTGTCACACACAAATTTTCGTGTGAAAACCATGGGAGAAATCGAAGAAAACCTAAAAATACAGATATGTATCACATTCATGTTCTCCAATAACGTCTGATGAGAAGAATTGATATTGTTCAGGCCTCAGTTTCCCCCAAACTCATCTGTAGACTCCCTCAAAATGCCAGCAAATATTTTTGTAGAGATTGATGAGTTGATTTCTTAAACAAATATTTACTTTCTTTATTTTGCTGCATCAGATCTAATCTGGGGAATGGAAACTTCATTGTGTCATGCAGTATCTCTTGTTGCAGTGCACAGACACTCTAGTCGCGATACCCAGTCTCAGTAGTTTCTCCACTGCATGTAGGACCTTTGTTCCCTGACCAGAGATGGAAGCAATATCCCCCACATTGTGAGGCAGATTCTTTTTTAAAAGATTTGTTTGTTTGTTTATGTAATTTTGGTTGGGCTGGGTCTTTGCTGCTGCACACATGGGATTTTTCTATTTGTGGTGAGTGGGGGCTACGCTCTAGTTGCAGCAGATAAGCTTCTCACTGCAATGACATCTCCTGTTATGGAGCACAGGCTCTAGGCACTCCAGC